TCAAATAAAATTCTTGTATTTGAAAGCTTTTTGAAAACTTTAAATTTCTGTTCATTATTCTTTTGAATCGCAGCTTCTGCGAACTGGGAATGGCTGGGAGAAGTCTGCAGGTTCCAAGCTGGGTTCTTGAGTCAGGTCCGCTGGCTGTGAAACAGAGGCCACACGGTGTGAAGGGGCTGAGGGAAGGCCACCGGCTCAAGTGCCACTGTGGGTTCTCTTTGCCAGGGCCAAAAGTGTGTGCACATCTGCCTGTGGATATGCACAAATGTGCAGCTGGGAGTGAAGGGCCCAGAGCCCTCCTGCTTTTACGCATTTTAGAATATAGTTCACATTATTCAGGGCTGAAGACAATGTGTTCTCCCAAATAAATTTACTTCCAAAGCTCATTGTGGCTCTGAAGCCCTAAACTGTCAGGTTAGCCCCCACTGCGTAGAAGCGGCACCAGTGGGTGGCATGGGGGCTGAGACCCCAGCCCTGGGGTCGTGGGGTCCATTCAGCTTCTCCCTCCTTGCCCCACCCCTGCCCTCTTCCCCGGGTATCTGACTGGACTCAGATGCCCTGGAGACTGAGGCTGTGCTGGGCGGGTCATGGGGCAGGGAAGCTCTGAGCTGGACCCTTGTAGGGATGAGATCATCTCACAGGATGGTGAGGACACCTGTGCTGGCCCTGGCCACACACACAGTGATGTAACCAGGGGCTTTAGCTCACAGTGGAAACATGGGGCTCGCTTTACAGCCAGGGCTGCCCAGAGTTTGTTCCTGGCTGACGCAGCTGCAGCCTCGCCTCCCCCGCTCCCTGCTCCTGCACACAGTTCCCCAGCGTGCCCTTTGCTTGTCACCCTCCCACTCTCCTGTTGTGGTTCCCTTGTCAGGAATGCCCTTCCACCTCGTGTGTTCACCCGTCACCCTACTCGCTCATTTACTTATCGTCCTGCAGACTTCTTTTAAGTGATTACCACATGCCAGGCACTGTCTTAGGTGGTGGGGATACAGCAGTGAATGAGATACAGTTTCTACCACATGGAACCTAAGTCTAGCAGGAGAGACAGGCAAGGAAATAGTCAACGACAGTATTGTGATTAGTGCGGTGAAGGGGAAGCGCAGGGGACATGAGAGCTGAGGGGAAGCGGGAGATCAGAGGGACTGAACCCATCTTCTCTGAAATCCTGCCCACCCTCCAAGTCGAGTCCAAGTGCCACTCACTACAAAAGCCTTTCCTGAGTCCCCGGCCAGAGGTGATCACTGCTTTCTCTGCAGCCCTAAGCACTTAGTGCACTGCTTCATTTATTCATCTATAAATATTTAATGAGTGTTGATTCCATACCAGGGACTATTCTAGGAACTGAGGACACAGCAGTGAATAACACAGATAAGTCCCTGCTGTCATGGAGCTGATATTTGTCATGGAAAGGATGGACGTAAACCAACACACTCATAAGTGTATAATATGTCAGGTAGCAATGTGTTCTATGAAAAATAAACACAGTAAGAGGGATAGCAAGGGCCTGGGAGAGGGAGTCGCTGCTTTACACAGGGTGGTCGGGAGGCTTCTCTAGGGAAGTAACAGAGCCCTGCAGGGGGCAAGCCATGGTGTTCATGCGCTGTGTGAGGCCAGCCGGCAGGACCACATGGGTGGGTGCAGCAAGGTGGCGGAGGGTGGAGGGTGGTGGGCCCAGCATGCTCACAGGGCCCAGATCACGAGGGCTTCGTGAAAGGGAGCTATTGTGGTGTTTTGAGCAAAGGAGCACCGTGATCTGACATTATTTTAAAAGGATCACTCTGTCTCTTCTGCCGAGAATGGGCTGAAGAGGCCACAAATGAGATCAGTGAGGAGCTTACTGCAGAAATTGAGGTGTGAGATGGTAGGAACGTGGACCAGGCTGTTGGTGGGGAACAGCAAGGAGCGATCAGATTCTAGATATATTCTTAAGGGAGGGCCAGCAAGATTGCCTGATGGAGTAGAGGCGAGACAAGGAGAGGAAGGCAGGATTGCCTCTGGGTCTTGGCCTGAGCCAAACAGGATGAAGTTGCTATTTACTGAGATTCGTGGAGACCGACTTGGAGGGGAGACTAAGGAGCTTGGATGGGACCTGGTAAGCTTGATACCTCCTATACTTTCAGGAGGAAATGCCAGGTATGCAGTCAGAAATAATGATGAGGAGTTGAGGGCAGAAGACTGGACTGGAGATAGATATTTGGGGGTCCATGAGTATACATATATTTGAAAGTCACAGGATAGAATTAGGACCCCCTGGTTGTGACTGTGGATAGAGAATGGAAAACAGCTCTGGCCTGAGCTCTGGGGCAGGTCTAGGGAGTAAAGAGCTCTTTTCTCTGACGAAAGAGCTCAGGAAAAGCGGCCGTGAAGGAGGAGGAGCAGCCAGAAAGAGCAGTGCCCTAGAAGCAGTGAAGCAAAGGTGTCAGGAAGCAGGGTCGGTGTTGCTGATGGGTTGGGCAGACGGGCATAGGAATTGGCCATTGGATTTGGCAAAGTACAAGTCACGGGTGACCTTGACAAGAGCGATTCTGGTGCAGTAGAGGCTATCAAAGCCTGATGGGAAGAGAGAAAATGAAGGCATTGAGTACAGGCAGCTCCTTCAAATAATTTTTCTGTAAAGCAGAGAGCAGAGAAATAAGAGCAGGGGCTGGAAGAGGCTGTGGGGTCAACGGAAGTTATTTTTAAAGAAGGACACCGTTTGGCTCACGCCTGTAATCCCAGCACTTTGGGAGGCAGAGGTGGACAGATCACAAGGTCAAGAGATTGAGACCATCCTGGCCAACATGGTGAAACCCCGTCTCTCCTAAAAATACAAAAATTAGCTGGGCGTGGTGGCGCACACCTGTAGTCCCAGCTGCTCGGGAGGCTGAGACAGGAGAATCGCTTGAACCTGGGAGGTGGAGGTTGAAGTGAGTAGAGATTGCACCATTGCACTCCAGCTTGGCGACAGGGCTGTCCCCCTCACCACCCGCTCCCCCCCACAAAAAGAAGGACACAATATAGCAGGCTTGTACGCTGGTGGGAAAGATGTAACAGAGAGGAAAAGTTTGATGATGCAGGAATGAGCAGGAATAATTGTTGGAGAAATGTCCTTGATTAGGCACCAGCTGGCGGGATCCAGTGAGGGGCCGCTTTAGATAGGAGCGCAGGGTATCCGTAGGCAGCAGGAAAGGCAGAGCGCCGGTGCAGATGCTAGGCGCATTGCTGCCTTGCGTGTGTGCCTGTCATGTCTCATCTTTTCTACTGCACAGTAAGCTCCCGGAGTGCAGAGACCCTGTCTTACGTGCTTCTGTGTCTTCATAACCCTAGCTTGCCAGTCATATGTACTTAATATATATCTCTGAGTGAGCGTATCTTAGCAGTCTCATTCTGAGCAAGTAATGCAGATCAGCCAGCTTAAGAAATGAAGCAGGATTCGTTAGTAAGTCCAGAAGGGATTCTTATGGAATGCCTTGCTGTGCCCAGGCAAGGAATGGAACTAGTACTTGGAAGCATCTTGGGACTCTCTGTGTCTTCCACTTCTATTCAATCCTGAACATCAACTTCCTTTTTCCATCTCTCAGTGTAGCATTTGCTTCTCAGTCCGTGTGGCAGAACGTGACTGCTCTAGCCTTTTGAAGTTAAATTTCCAGACACAATGGTAGACTGTCTCGAGGTCTTAATTCCCAAATACGTGGTCAAAGAATTAGCTAGATTAGTTGATTTGGTGTCCATTACTGGACCAATTAACTATGGCCAGAGAGGCAGGGGACATGTGACAGTAACAGCTGGGAGTTCTTCCTGTGGGTGGGCTGGAAGTGGCCAGAGAAGAGGGGCTGGGCAGACAGTCAGTCAGTGTCATTGCAGTGACGGGATGGGTAGGAAGATGTAGATGTGTGGACAGATGGACGATGGGTAAATGAATGAATGAATGAGTGGACAGACAGATGTTTTAGCCATGTAGTCAAATAATCCTAACAGCTCGGGAACCTGAAATGAAAGGAGGAGGGCTCTTGGAAGAGATGTTCGTGTTGGGACATGAGGGAGGAGACCTCTGAGGATACAGCCCTTACTGCAGTTGAGAAAGTTGAATGGGCCACTACAGAAGGAAACTTATTCCCAGCAGCCAAGGATTTCTGGAAACTCCTTGTCTCCCTTCCCACTAGGAAGCTAGGACGTTTCTCCTCCATATTTTCCTTCCTATTGCTGAAGGGGAATCATTTTCAGCTTTGACAGGGACCAGCTTCTAAAAATAAGCTGAGCTATCATTCTTCCAGCCAGCCTAGGGCAGATGGTCCCGACCAGTCTCTTCAGGTGGTCTGGGAAGCCACGGCCTTGTGTTCTCGCCTCCCATTATTATTATTATTATTATTTTTTTTTTTTGAGACAGAGTTTTGCTCTTGTTACCCAGGCTGGAGTGCAATGGCGCGATCTTGGCTCACCGCAACCTCCGCCTCCTGGGTTCAGGCAATTCTCCTGCCTCAGCCTCCTGAGTAGCTGGGACTACAGGCACGCACCACCATGCCCAGCTAATGTTTTTTGTATTTTTTTTTAGTAGAGACGGGGTTTCACCATGTTGACCAGGATGGTCTCGACCTCTTGACCTCGTGATCCACCCGCCTTGGCCTCCCAAAGTGCTGGGATTACAGGCGGGAGCCGCCGTGCCCGGCCCATGATTATTATTATCATCCGTCTCACTCTGTCGCCCAGGCTGGAGTGCAATGGCGTGATCTCGGCTCACTGCAACCTCTGCCTCCTGGGTTCAAGCGATTCTCCTGCCTCAGCCTCCCAAGCATCTGGGATTACAAGAGCCTGTCACCATGTCTGGCTAATTTTTTGTATTTTTAGTAGAGATGCGGTTTCACCACGTTGGCCAGGCTGGTCTCAAACTCCTGACCTCAGGTGATCTGCCTGCCTCAGCCTCCCAAAGTGCTGGGATTACAGGTGTGAGCTGCCATGCCCAGCCTCTTCTGATTATTTTGGACCTGGTCTTCCTGCAACCTAATCTCCTGCTTCTTTCTCAGGATACCCAGAGCCAGAGGTGACCTGGTACAAGGATGATACAGAGCTGGACCGCTACTGTGGCTTGCCAAAATATGAGATCACTCATCAGGGCAACCGCCACACACTGCAGCTGTACAGGTGAGGGAGGAGGGCCCTCTCCAGGGCCCTTTGGCTGGGGCCCTGCCCTCAGAAATGGAGCAGTCTGGATGGAGATACCCAGGCACTGTCTGGGATGGAGGGCGGGATTCTGCTGTGTGGTTGAACCACCTGGTGAACCACATCTGCCTTCCAGTGTCTGGGAGCTCCTAAGGCCAGGGTGGGAGTGTTACTGACAATCAGAGAGCTGGTGCAGCCAGAGGAGGTCCTAAGGCCAGGGTGGGAGTGTTACTGACAATCAGAGAGCTGGTGCAGCCAGAGGAGGTCCTAAGGCCAGGGTGGGAGTGTTACTGACAATCAGAGAGCTGGTGTAGCCAGAGGAGGTCCTGACCTACGGAAATATTTTCCGTGAGGTCAGCGGCCAAAAAAAGCAACTGTATCATCATGACTTCACAAGGCGCTGTGCTGGTCACCTGCTTCTGAAGGGAGCTCTCCTGGGCCCCAAGTCTAATCCCTCCTGGGACAGTATGGCCTTGGTCAGCTGCCACCCTTTTGCCAGCCTCAACTGTAATGGAGGATGTTGTATGCTGTGATGTGTGAGGTGGGGCGTGGCACGCGGCAGGGCTTGCCGTGGGGAGGGGGAAGCATGCTCGGCTCTGAACGGCTCTGGCTGGGGGGCTTGGGGGGCTCTCACCTCCCAGGAGGGGACAGGTGGCACCTCATGCTCCTACCTCTAGGTGTCGAGAAGAAGATGCCGCCATCTACCAGGCCTCCGCCCGGAACAGCAAAGGCATCGTGTCCTGCTCAGGGGTCCTGGAGGTGGGCACCATGACCGAGTACAAGCTCCACCAGCGCTGGTTCGCCAAGCTGAAGCGCAAGGCTGCCGCGAAGCTGCGCGAGATCGAGCAGAGCTGGAAGCAGGAGGCGGCGCCGGCGGAGGCCGACACGCTGCGCAAGCTCAGCCCCGACCGCTTCCAGCGCAAGCGCCGGCTGAGCGGGGCCGAGGCGCCAGGCCCCTCCGGCCCTGCCAGGGAGCCCGAGGGTGGGGCCCCGGCGGCTTGGCAGGAGGGAGAGACTGAGTCAGCTCAGCACTCAGGTTTGGGCCTGATCAACAGTTTTGCCCCTGGCGAGGTGACCACCAACGGGGAGGCTGCCCCCGAGAATGGGGAGGACGGGGAGCGCGGCTTGCTGACATACATCTGTGACGCCATGGAGCTGGGGCCTCCGAGGGCCCTCAAAGAGGAGAGTGGGGCCAAGAAGAAAAAGAAAGATGAGGAATCCAAGCAGGGCCTGAAGAAGCCAGAGTTAGAGAAGGCAGCCCGAAGCCGCCGTTCTTCGGAAAACGGCATCCCCAACTCCGACGAGCCTGACTCCTGCGGAACTCGGGGGCCCGTGGGCGTGGAGCAGGTTCAGACCCAGCCCAGAGGCAGGGCTGCACGGGGGCCTGGGTCCTCTGCCACAGATGGCACCAGGAAGCCAGCCTCTGCTGGGGACACTCCAGACAAGGCCCAGAAGGCCCCGACCCCGGCCCCTGGCCCAGGCCCAGGCCAGGAAGTGTATTTCTCCTTGAAGGACATGTACCTGGAGAACGCCCAGGCAGTCAGGCCTCTGGGGGAACAGGGCCCCCAGCCCCTGAGTGTCCAGGCGCCTGGAGAGAGTCCCAAGGGGACAGCGCCCATTAGGGCTAGAGGCGAGGGGGTGCCTGCGGCTCCTGGCCAGCCCACACCCTCCTTGGCCCCCCAGCCGACCAGGCCTTTCAACAGAAAGAGATTTGCCCCTCCAAAGCCCAAAGGGGAGGCCACCACAGACAGCAAGCCCATTTCTTCTATGAGTCAAGCTCCAGAATGTGGGGCCCAGAGCTTAGGGAACGCCTCACCTCAGGCCTCTGTCCAGGTGCCGACGCCCCCTGCCCGGCGGAAACATGGCACCCGGGACAGCCCCTTGCAGGGACGAGCAGGCCACAGGACTCCAGGAGAGGTAAGTGGGTGTTGGGCGCCTGGAGGCTGCTCTGGGAAGCTGACCTCATGGAAACTCTTGCTGCAACTGCTCGGCAGCCAGCGAGCAGTGGGCTATTTATAGAAGGGTGGGGAGGGGCTGGAGTGCCAGCAGCAGGGGACCGCAGGCATCCCCTTCACCCCAGCCAGTCTCCAGACGCCGGGCCTGTGGGGAGCACAGCCTGACTGTAACGCTCCTCTGAGAGTGTAGGAGTTCGCGGCCAAGGGGACCGTGCCCCGGAGGGAGGTGCAGGAAGATAGTATTCTCTGGGTGGGAAAGGGGGCCAGTGGAGGGTTTCTGTGGGCTCTGCTGAGGCAACAGCGTTTCACGGGGCAGACGGAGGAGCAGGCATGCACTATAGTGTACAGCAGGTCGCAACTCGTCTGCGCATTAGATTTTTAACAAAGCTGAATGTCCAGGAAATGCTGGTTGAACCTGGATTTAGTAAGGTTCTGGAGCCAGGCATACCTATATGCAAATCTGACTGCCTTTAACATGGTGTGATCTAGAGCAAGCTGTAAAACTGGAAGAATAATAATACCAATGCCTACTTGATAGGGCTCTTGTAAGAATCTGGTGCCACTAAGAACGAAGTAAGTGGCAGTTGGGATCAGGTATGACTACGGTGGGTGACAGAGGCCAGCCGTTTTGCTCGATAACAGGAGTGCCCTCATCTTCTAGGGAGCAGGTAGCCAACAGAGAAAAGATGATGTTTTGTGTGGAGACGGGGTAGTGGAAAGTCCCTTCCTCAAAGAGGCAGATGGGCGGCAGCATTAAGGAGCTTGAGGGGCCGGATTGAGAGGGGCAGGAAGGAAACAGTTTGTCCCTTTTGGTTATAGCTTCATGTTTCAGGGGTATGGGGGCATCATTTCAGAGGTTTAGGGGGACAGAGTGTTTTTTGTTTTTTTTTTGAGGTGGAATCTTGCTCTGTCACCAGGCTGGAGTGCAGTGGTGTGATCTTGGCTCACTGCAACCTCTGTCTCCCATGTTCAGCCTCCTCAGTAGCTGGGACTACAGGTGTGTGCCACTACGCCCAGCTAATTTTTTGTATTTTAGTAGAGACGGGGTTTCACCACGGCCAGGGTGGACTCGATCTCCTGACCTTGTGATCCGCCCACCTTGGCCTCCCAAAGTGCTGTCATTACAGGCGTAAGCCACCGTGCCCAGAGAGACAGAATGTTTTATAGTGGGACAAAAAGAAGACAGTGTTTCTTATTAGTGGCAGAAAGAAAAGTGTTGCAAGAGCGGGTTTGGGGCGGGTAAAATAGACGGAACATATTTACACTAAGAAATACTGGTGGTTTATTTGAAACTGAGTGTCCAATATTTCTTCTCTTTTCTTCTTCATTTTTTTTTTTTTTTTGAGATGAAGTTGTCCAAGCTGGAGTGCAGTGGTGCGGTCTCAGCTCTCTGCAGCCTCCAACTCCCGGGTTCAAGCGATTCTTGTGTCTCAGCCTCCCAAGTAGCTGGGATTACAGGCGTGAGGAACCACGCCTGGCTAATTATTGTATTTTTAGTACAGATGGGGTTTTGCCATGTTGGCCAGGCTGATCTCAAACTCCTGACCTCAAGTGATCTGCCCACTGCAGCCTCTCAAAATGCTGGGATTCTAGGCGTGAGCTGCCGCGCCCAGCCCACTATTTGTTTTTGCTAAATCTGGTAACCTTAAGCGGAGACCACCTTTGGTTTTGGTGGGAACTAAGATGAGACTGTTTCTCAGGGGGGAGGAAGCAGGAGTTATGGGTCCAGGAATAGCTTCATGGGGGAACAGTGCTTCCCAGGGGTAGGGACAGAGGACAGGTGGTTTCTCAGGGCAGTGAAGGGAAGCACACGAGGGACAAGCTGATACAGCACCTTGCAGAGGGCAAAGGGGAAAGGATGCTTTGTGGAGAAAAGAAGAGGCTTTTCCATGGAGAAAACTTTCATGGCGGGAAGGAGGGGAAGACTGTGAAAGAGTGACTGTGGAAAATGCTTTTATTTCATGGCCGCTGAGGTCAGACTGTAGGAACAGTGGTTCAGAGTGGAGTGGAGCAAACTTCAAGGACCTCAAACCAGACTTTCCGGAATCTGTTCCTGACTCTTGCCCCGCTCATGCCTGGTCTCATGTAGTTTTGGCCACTGGTGTGGTAAGTCCACATGGCCCAGGGAAGACTTTGTGTGGCTGCTGCACGTGCCTGACAGTCCACAGGCTGCAGAGTAGGGCCTTTTGGAAGAAATGGCTCTTGTAGGCCCTCATAGCTCATTTAGGAAGGGACCAGGCTGGTGGCCAAGTCAGTGTGCAAATCTGGCATCTCTGCCTATGTGGTGAGGAACCCCAAACCAGATGGTGGCATCCTCCTGGTAGGGCCAGAAGGGGAAGGGCCACCTCTTCCTTACCTCCCAAAGGTAGGAGGAGGGGCTCAGGCAGTGTGGTACTTGAGAGTTGTCTGTGGTGGTTCCACTGCTCCTACGAAAACCTCATGGTTAGGCCGGGTCGGTGGCTCATGCCTGTAATCCCAACACTTTGAGAGGCCGAGGTGGGCAGATCATGAGGTCAGGGGTTCAAGACCAGACTGGCCAACATGGTGAAACCCCGTCTCTACTAAAAAATACAAAAATTAGTTGGGCATGCTGGCTCTTACCTGTAATCCCAGCTCCTTGGGAGGCTGAGGTAGGAGAATTGCTCGAACTGGGACCTGGGAGGGGGAGGTTGCGGTGAGCCAAGATCGCACCACTGCTCTCCATCCTGGGCTACAGTGAGACTCCATCTCAAAAAAAAAAAAAAAAGGAAAAAGAAAAGAAAGAAAACGAAAAAAACACCACAAAACAAAATCAAAAACCTTATTTCTTTTTTCTTTTTTTTGTTTTTTTGAAAAATTTTTTAATTTAAAAAAAGGTTGAATAGGTTATACATGTGAAACGTGTTTAACATCTATGTATACTTTTAAGCTGTTAGTTTTTAGTGGATGAATTGGATTTTTTTTTTTTTTTTGAGACAGGGTCTTGCTGTTTGTCACCCAGACTGGAGTGCCATGGCATGACTGTGGCTCACTACAGCCTTAGCCACCTGGGCTCAAGTGATCCTCCTGCCTCACCCTCCTAAGTCCCATGCCTCAGACTATAGGCATGTGCCACCACACCTGGCTATTCTTTTTCTTTTTTTAAAAGTTTTTGTAGAGACAGTTCTCACTATGTTGCCCAAGCTGGTCTTGAACTCCTGGGCTCGATTGATTCTCCTGCCTTGGCCTCCCAAAGTGCTGCCATTGCAGCTATGAGCCACTATGCCTGGTCTGTTTATTCATACTCTTATCCTGCCCAATTTCTTTGGAAAAAAAGTTATTTTTTTGATTTAAAAAAAAGTAGTCATAGTAGAAAATATGGAGGAAACTCTAAAAACTTGAAGTGGGAAGTAAAGGTCGGGCACAGTGGCTCACTCCTGTAATTCCAGCTCTTTAGGAACCTGAGGCAGGTGGATCACCTGAGGTCAGGAAAGCCTGGTCAACATGGTGAAGCCCCATCTCTACTAAAAAAAATACAAATGAAATTTAGCTGCGGGTGGTGGCAGGTGCATGTAACCCCAGCTACTCAGGAGGCTGAGGCAGGAGAATCACTTGAACCCAGGAGGCAGAGAGTGCAGTGAATTGAGATTGTGCCATTGCACTCCAGCCTGGGTGATAAGAGGGAAACTCCATCTAAAAAAAAAAAAAAATAAGAAAAAAAGAAAGTAAAAAAAATCTACCATCCAGAGATGACCATCATCCAAGAGATGAAAGGACATCTTGTTGTATCTACCAATCTTTTTTATGTGTATATGTAGTTTCTCAAACATTTTTTTTTTTTTTTCTGAAATGGAGTCTTGCTCTGTTGCCTAGGCTGGAGTGCAGTGGCATGGTCTTGGCTCAAAGCAACCTCCACCTCCTGGATTCAAGCGGTTCTCCTGCTTCAGCCTTCCGAGTAGCTGGGATTACAGGCACCTGCTACCACGCCTGGCTAATTTTTTTTGTATTTTTAGTAGAGATGGAGTTTCACCATGTTGGCCAGGTTGGTCTCGAACTGCTGAACTCATGATCCGCCTGCCTCGGCCTCCCAAAGTGCTGGGATTTCAGGTGTGAGCCACTGTGCCTGGCCCAGTTTTTAAAATATAACTGTCCAAATTTCTGAGGGTTTTTTATGTTTTGTTTTTTGAGATGGAGTCTCTCTGTATCGCCGAGGCTGGAGTACAGTGGTGCAATCTCGGCTCACTGCACCCTCCGCCTCCTGGGTTCAAGCACTTCTCCTGCCTAACTCTCCCCAGTAACTGGGATTACAGGTGCATGCCACCATGCCTGGCTAATTTTTGTATTTTTAGTACAGACGGGGTTTTGCCACATTGGCCAAGCTGGTCTCAAACTCCTGACCTCATGATCTGCCCGTCTTGGCCTCCTAAAGTGCTAGGATTACAGGTGTGAATATCCTGCTTTCTTTACTTCTCATCATTTCATGAGCATTTTCCATAATTTCTAGAAAAATCGTCGAAAAAACTTTAATGACTATAAAAGACGGCATAGTATGAATATCTTAACCTTTTTTCTATAGTGTTTATGCTTTCCTTCCCTAGTCTAAGATTAAGTAGTAATCTGTATTTTCACTAATTGTTGTTGTTTGAATTCTTTCTTTTGATTTTTAAATTAATCTGAAATTTGTTTGGGTGTATAATATAGCATTAGTCTCTGGTTTGATGTTTGACTAACAAATAGGTAATTTTCCTCAACATTATTTGTGGAATATTCAAACCGTATCTATATTTTGTTTTTCATTCTTGATATACTAATTCTTATATACACTAGAGTCAATTTTAATTCCTACATATACATCTATTATAATCCGTGAATCTGTTTGTTGATTTTTTTACAAGACAAACTTGTTTTAATTTTTATGGGTTTGATTTCTGGCAGGGCAAGTTCTTCTCTTATCCTTCTTTAAAATTTTTTCTCCACTATTATCTCTTGTTTATTCCTCTAGGA